CGTATCTCTATTGAAAGAACTGACCACCTGGTGATTACTGAAGTTAAACATTAAATTATAAGCTATTAACCAATGTTCAGTAATACATAAAATATGAATATTGTTGCTATTTAAGAACAACTCAATTTCTAGCTCTTTGCCTATCATGCCTTGTATATTTTGATGCACCAGGTGTAAACATTTTTCATTATCTTTCTGTGGAGTCATACAATTAAAGATTTGTAAGCCACATTCTAAATTATCTAAGTTATTACAACTGCTAGAGATTACCTCTATTGTCTCATTTTCTAATTTAAATTACTTGGAACCTGATTCCAAATTGCATATTAAGTCATTACACTGCTCAAAAGAAGCAGATGTCTGTGTAGCCAAGTCCTTGGCTGAGTTAATATATCAATAATAAGATAGCACATTTGCTATCTGTCTTAAATTATATTTTGATAGATAATACCTATCTCTAGTCAAAAATTTCTTAATTGAATTATTTATATCTATTAAATTAATTCTATCATTATAATTGTAACAATTAAATGTCAAGTTTAAATTATTATTACATGAAAGGTTATTCATTAATAAATTTAAATCATATCTTATTTTATTTTCCTGCGGCCAACCCTGTATGTAAGGAAATGTAAACAAGATAATTTTATGTACATTTCAAGTATTTAGATTATCAATATATTTTAATAATTGATTTTTGTTTACATTGCCTCTTCTCCCAACAAGAATTATTAATGTGCTATTAGGACAAAATTTACTAGCTAAAACTTTGTTCATTATATGACTAAAGGATGCTCCAGGCATGCAATAATTACTGATCAGATGTCCTTTTAAACAGTTATTTAACATCATGCCCAAATTTTTGCCTATGTTATCACAATACATAATAACTTTATTTTTTTTTAATATTTACATTGCTTTTTAAGTGTATATCCTTTGTCATGGCACTGTTATAGAGTGTAGATGAAAATAATGTGGTCTTACTGTTAACTTTGTTATTTACACTTATTGTCCCTGATGAACCTGGTATGGAGCGCTGATACTCACTCTGATTTTTTATTAAGGAGTCAAAGCGCTCCTCATTATATTTACATGATTTTACCAGATCATTCATAGCCAATATGTGTTTTTTTATCTCATCTTGAGCCGATGCATATTTATTTGATACAATTTGTAGAGAGCTTCTAAGTGATAAAATTGTTGAATTTAGACACTCTATATCAGTCTCATAACAGTGATTCATATTTTCCACCTCAATTGAATATATTTTAAGTTTATTAATTAGTTCTTGCTTTTCTTTGCATACATTTATATAATTTTTAACATTAATTTTAGTTTTAATTAATTGTTGTAGTTTTCTAATATATTTATTAATTTTTATATATTTCTTTAATTTTCTTCTACTGCAGGTAGTCCTTGCTGCTGTTCTTGATATGACATAATCATCACCAGTCAAATCGATTGTTGTGGAGGGTTGCAATGCTTTAGATTTCTATGAGCTCGTTAAACAGACTTTGATTTTGGGACGCTTTCATGTTAAATATGTAATATTTTAATTGCACAATCTGCTCATTAGCCGTACTTAACTGTAACTGCAATGCAGCAATTAATTTGAGGGATTCCTCATATTCCTTGCTGCATTGGCCAAACTCATCGACTGTTCTCTGAAGTTAAAAATACACTCTTGAGGAATAATAATCAAATCGTTCATGTCTTAGGTTAAGTAGGCTTTAGTTAATTTTTTTTTTTACGTTTTACTAACAAGTAGGTTTAAGATACTTGTTATACCTACTAACACATAATATGGTGATGTACTGGTCGATATACCATATTATTTTTATTTATATTTATTCATTTATTTTTAGTCAGACTATCAGACAACTAGGTACGTCACGGGTCCAAAAATGTAAATATTACAATAAAACACTAAAGAATTAAAAATATATTTATTCATAAAAAAACAACCTCAACGGCCAAAGTCTGAAAACGAAACAAACTTTTAACACCGTTAAAAGAACCGTCGAACAGAAGGAATATTTATTTACTTACAATTTACATTTACAAATTTGAAAAATAATGCCGCTTTTAGGTCAAAAATAACTATATATTTATATAGTTATTTTTGACCTAAAAGCGGCATAATTTTTGAGATCTGTAACATACATTTGTGACATATTATGTATGATTCTTACCCTTTCTGACATAATTATCATTTAGTTTTTTTGAATTCTAATGCTGGCACTACACAGACCGTCCCACATTCGAATATACCTCCAGCGTTGAATATTTGAGACTGGTCATTGGATGCAATTGCTCTGGGTATCACTGGCGGCGGCAAATACCACATCAAAGGAGTTTGACAAAGTTCGCCAACTCGACTAAACTCTCCTTTATACATAAGATTATTTTCTGCCGACATCCAAAAAGGAGACGGTACTCAATTCGACTGTATGTTTTTTTTTTATAGTTGGCAACAACGTATTTTACATCAAGGTTTTAAAATTTGGTAAGAACGAGTTTGCTCATGTTCGAATGTTTTAATCTGTACGGTTTGACGATCGTGTATCGCCAGCGCAGGAAATCCAAATTAAAATGACACATTTTTATATGTTCTTTAGTGCTAAGAAACGTTATTACTATTATGGAACAAAATTGATACAAATGTTGGTAGATTATTTACAGTTTACTGCTAAATTAGCTATTATCAGTAACTTGTAGTAATAAAACACTTTAAGTTAATTGTACATTATACCGAAAATATTCTGAAAATTTATAATTTTTTACTTCGTAGCCAGAAGTCACAAAATCGATATCAAATTGGGCCCGCAATTCAAATCCGCAATGAGCGTTGGTCATTACAATTTTACTAACTTACAATTCAATGCCTTGAAGTGAATTTGATATAAAGATGCAACTACATGGTGTTAAAGTGTCGAGTGATATGATTTACTTCAAAAATCCTCTAGATAGAACACAAATCCGTTTTTATCAGATAGGTCTTAAAATCAACATGAACAAGGCAAAATTCATGTACCTATGTACCTGGTAGTAATTGGGGGCACTAAGCTCGAAGTTGTTGATGTGTACGTTTACCTAAGACAAATAGACCGACCAGGTAAGTCCAATTTCGACCAGGAGGTCAATTGGATCCAACTCGACTTGGCAGCGTTCTGAAGATCTTCTCGTCAAGTATACCCCAAAACTAGGAAACATAATTGTAGAGCCAATGATGACGTATGGATCTGAGACGTGATCCTTAACTGCTGGCCGAAGCTCAAGGAGGTCGCTCAGCGAGCTATACTCAAAGTTTCTTTGGTTGCACGATAGATTTCGTTATGAGGACATCCGCGGTAGAACCGGAGTAACCGACATAGCCCAACGGATCAGTAAGCTGAAGTGGCAATTATCATCATCATCATCATCACTATTACAGTCCTTCACAAGTCCATTACAGAACATAGGCCTCATCCAAGGAATGTCCAAAGCGCGGTCCTGAGCTACTTGCAATATCTGCTGCATGTCTTCCCAGGCCGTCACTCCATCCGGGTACCGCCATTCCTTCGCTCATCGGTACGAGGTTGCCACTCAAGAACCTTTCTTCCACATCGGCTGTCGGTTCTTCGAGCTATATGGCCGGCTCATTGCCACTTGTGCTTACAAATCCTTTGGGCTATATCGGTTACTCTAGTTTTACTGCGGATATTCTCTATGTGTGTTACGAAGTATATAAATAGGCCAAATATGTACATTGTTGTGATTGGTGCAATAAAACTTTCCTGTTCTGTCCTGCAAAGGCGTTTTACATACACGACATTCAGCTGGAACCTTTTAAATATAATTTAAATTACGATTTATAATTAATAAAACTATAAACCTTATTAACGAGGGGTGCATTTTTATTATTAATTAAATAACATGCAAAAAGTAAAAAAAGAAAACAATAATAAATATGTAACAAATAGATATTTTCACATTTTATTTTCGGTAAAATATTATAACAAAGGGTACGGGCTTGAAAACACATTCTTTTTTCCCGCCAACACAAATGACAGTAGAGTAAAATTCAACATACAACGCTTGAACCAAAAAAGAAACATTTTATAAATATACTGTGCACTTCACAACGTTTTTCGCTACCAATTCTATACTAAAATGTTTTGTGTTGTTTGTGCCTTTATTGAAGTTTATTTTATACATAACACAACATGTAACAAAAACCCTAACACCTAAACTTTCCGTTAAGTGCGTTATTACAAACAGTATTCAAACATTAGAAATCATCGAACTTTACTTCAGAAAACTTGACAGTAAAAAATTATAATACAAATTATATGTGGGTTTATCTGCATTAGCCGGGGAATAAGAGCATTGTCAAAGACCCCGCTTTACCGATTTTTATGATTAAACTAGGCTCACACTTGATATCCATCTGGCTGCATGTTAACAATCAACTCGAAGAGGTTAATGTTATATGCACTCGGAAAAACAGACAGACGCCAGAAGTCAATTAAATACGCATTGTTAAGGATAACTCAAAAACTACTGGTCACATCTTGATCAAATTTATATGGGACCACATGAGAAGCACCAGCTTTCAAATAAATCATCAAAATTTAAAAAAATCGCATTAAAAAACAGTCAAATTGAGAACCTCCTCCTTTTTTTAAATTCGACTGAAAAACCACACAGAATTTGCAAATAATAATTTAAATTATCTATCGAGTTTTCTGAAATAAAATGATAACGGGAACTACAGGGTTTTTGTTACACGTTGTATATGACATGAATGAATAAATCAGTAAATATATTCAACATTATAAACATCATAAAAAATTTATAAATTTTCTAGAGAAATATTCCACTCTAACATCTTACTATTATCCGTGTTTTGTATTATAAACACTTCACTTATACTTAAAAATACAATCACTCGGGTGACAAAACGGGCTCACCACTATAAAAATTTTAAAACAAAATGTTAACACTAAAACAGCAGTTACTTAGTCGGATTTCCTGAGCGCTCCTCTAGCCCGCCAAGCTTTGAGGAGGTTGAAAGAGAAGTAGAGCTGGAAGAAGTGAACCTGGGACGCCAGGAACACAAATGCGTACCACAGGAGGCCGTATGGATAACCCTGGAAAAGAAACAAAAATATTGTTATAATTAAATAATTTTTGTTTAAAATTGATATAACAAAGGAACCCACATTCCACCTAATAGTAAGTGCTGGCAACAGACGCGTTGTCACCTCTGGGCACTGAGATGTAATGCCTCACAATCTGTAATTACATTGGCTCTCTATACCGTTCACACCTGCATACAGCAGTGCACTGCTAATTGGCAGTAGAAATAGATTCATCATCATCATCATTACAATCCTTCACAAGTCTACTGCTGAACATAGGCCTCCCCAAGGAATGCCACAAAGCACGGTCCTGAGCCACCTGCATCCATCGACTTCCTGCATGTCTTACCAGGTCGTCACTCCATCTAGTGGCTGGAAACTACGTAAGAAATAGGTTAGACGGTGATAATATGGTATAACCTACCAGACAGATTTAAGAGAAAATAAGTTTTACCACATAATTTTATTATCTTTAGTTGTTATTTTGTAATAAATTATACAAAGTATGGGTTTTTTAACTAACCGACTTCAAAAAAACGAGGAACTTCTCAATTCGACTGTAATTTTTTATGTGTTTTTTTTTATAGGATAAGGGTGACAAACGAGCACACAGTCCACCTGATGGTAAGTGGTTGCTGCGGCCCATAGACATCTACATCTATCCTCTATTACAAATCAAAATGCAGATGCGTTGTCATCCATGAGGACTAAGATGAAATGCCTCATTTCCAGTAAAAAGGGCCTCCGGCCACCTGCACTCACCAAGCGAAAGGCAGAGGTAAACCTCTACTTCACGCTGGTTTTCTGTGAGGTCGTGGTACGTGTTACCTCAGAACTTATTTCTAGCTGAACCAAGTTTGATGATTCTTTGAAAGCTTTTTTATTTGAAAACTGGTGCTTCTCATGTGGTCCCATATAAATTTGATTAAGATCTAACCAGTACTTTTTGAGTTATCTATAATAATGAGTACTTAATTGACTTCGACTTCATTGATGATGTTCTCATTTAATTTATATTGAAGTCGGATGTAAAAAAAAAAATTTTACCACTTGTTCATTTTTTTATTAGCAAAGATGTACTGTTCGAGAGAGAGAGAGAGAGAGAAAAAAGAAAAACTTTTGGAAAAGTACATAGTATCTATTTCCCACAAGTATTGTCAATTTAAATAAATCAACACTAAAGGGTAGTATTGTTGCGCGCCACTATTAATGTCTTGTACATGGCAATACTAGTTACACTAGCGCCCTCTAGTGTCGAGTAGCAGAACTCGAACATGCTTCCAGAAATTTCGGGACCGATATGTACTCGAATATTCTAGATGTCGCTACAGTAGAAGTTTCTGGAAACTATCTGAGGCCCTATATAAGGCCAGTATAGACCATGACCGAGGCAGTATTGAATTGGCGATACAAGATAATACTTCGAAGCGAAATAACGGCGAACTGTGTTTTATTATTAGTGTGATTTTAGATTGTAATTAGTGTTGTGTAATTAGTGTGAATTTTGGTAATTCAATCGGCAGTTTTTAATTGTCTCGAACCTAAAGCTCGTAACAGTATTAAATAAGGTCTTTTAACATCTATTTTTGAAACAAGAGAAGCATAAAGATACGCCGTTTGTCTGGTGTACCATGTAGTGGCGGTGTAAGAATATTCACTAGCATATATCATTCGGTGGATGTTGTAAGAGGCGGAACTAAAACAGGAAATGGTACGGCAGCATCTGCCGGATAACAACTAAAAAAAATGTGGTTGGTAGCCTGCCAAGTGTGACAACTATGGCTATTCTCCCTACGAGGCAATCTATTGGTAGATAAAAAATGACTTTCAATAAGAATAATAATCGATATTGAATAAAAAATTATTTTATTCTATTCTATTCTATTCTATTGGAGAGGCCTATGTTCAGCTGTAGACTATAACGGTAACGTTAAAGGGGATGGTTGTACCGCTATCTATCGGAGGCCATCAAGTCTTTCCGAAATTTCAAAATAATAAAATGTATGTTCAGCAGTGGACATTAATTTGATAGGCTACAATGGATCAATGACTAAATGAGGCTTTTTAAAGGATAAGGGTGACAAGCAAGCACAGTCAACCGTCTATAAGCCATACATGTCTATGTAGTATGTGGATGCTACGGCTGATAGACATCTACATCTATCCTCGGTTAGGAATCAAAACGTAGATGCGCTGCCACCCCTGTGGACTTAGATGGAATGCCCCGTAACCAGTAAAAAGGGTCTTCGGTTGTCTACCCTCATCGTTGCGTAGCAACATTAAGCATCATTACATGCCGGTATGCTGTGAGAGTCCTACGCCGTAAGAGCTGACCCATTCATTCATGCTACTAGGATGGCTCTACCACGTACGAAAGTCTAAAGATGCAAAGTAATTACAAATTACCAACCTGCCATAATTCTATATCGATTTCTGAACTATCTTCGTCCTCATCTTTAGTTAAGTACCGCCATACGTCGCCGCAGTAGTAGATTAAGCAGTACAAAAGTGGTCCAAATCCCAGGATGGCTATGCCGTACATGTATCTTCGTAACTGTTTTATATTATTACGTTTCAAAGCTGCCAAGCCAATAAAGGAGAGTAGAAGAGATATGCACCAGATGTATTCCCACCATAGCGGCTGAAAAATACGACATTAATTTTAATAAAAGCATATTTTTAATATTATACAAAATAAGGGTGACAAATGTGTCCATCTGATAGTAACTGGATGTTGTGGTTCATAGACACTTACGTCTATCCTCCATTAAGAGTTAAAAAGTGTTGCCACCCCTGACTAAAATAAAACGCTTTGTTTTAACAGTAAAAAAACCCGGCTAAGTGCGAGTCGTACTCGCGCATGAAGGGTTCTGTACCATCATAATATACGTTTCTAATAGAAAAACCCCTTTAATTTTTAATATATTTTAATTTTTATTATTTGTTGTTATAGCGGCAACAGAAATACACATTCTGTGAAAATTTCATCTATCTACCTATGGATGGACGGACAGACGGACGGACGGACGGGCGGACAGCGGAGGTTTAGTACCTATTACGTAGTACGTAGTAGAATAGAATGTGTATTTCTATTGCCGCTATAACAAGAAATAATAAAAAATAAAAATAAATTAAAAATTAAAGTGGTCCCGTTGGTTACCATTTGGGTATGGAACCCTAAAAAGGTCTTAAGGGTTAATTTATCGACCAAATTGACAGTACATTGAAGATAGGCCAAATTAATAGTACCCTTAACCATCAAGCCTGTAAAGATATATGGGCGTGAAGGAGGAGAGAGGTGTGTCAGGATTGTGATAAATGGAAGCTCGTAGTCTCTGCTGACCCCTCCGGTTGACAGGCGTGAGTGTAAAAGGGTCTCCAGTTCTCTACACTCACCATATGAAATACAACAGCACTAAGCTACTATATTTCCATGGTATTCTGTGATAGCAAAGCCAACCAATTTGTGCTGTACTTGTAACCATAATTTAGCTGCAACATAGCTCTTCCACATTAACATTTAATAATATCGGATATATAATATCTGCCAAGTGTGGAGAATATCACATATTATGCTGTTTATGTTAAATGTAACCCAATTGAGAACATCGTGATAATGTGGACCTTCATAATTAAACAATTCTGGATATTGTTGGACCAGTGATATCAATAGTTCTTCATTAATTTTTATTTAAACAAAAATAATATTACGAAAACGAAATAGAAATTAATAAAAATACGTTAGCGCGCATCCGCTTCTCCGCGTCGACTCAGTGTTGCAAAATTAAAAAATATAAAATCGGTAGATTTGCCAGCTAAAAATCGGGAGAAATCGGGAGATTTTTATTCACATCCATGGGTTTAGAAATGTATCATAAAACAGGTTCTTTTAGATGTCGTTCTTTCCCGTTTCAATTTTTTTTGCGATCAAAATAATGTCTTTATAATTTAAAGTAAAATTTAAAGATTATATATTTTTGCTACTCACATCATCATCATCATTACAGCCCTTCACAAGTCCACTGCTGAACATAGGCCTCCCCCAAAGAATGCCACAAAGCACGGTCCTGAGCCACCTGCATCCATCGACTTCCTGCATGTCTTACCAGGTCGTCACTCCATCTCGTGGGGGGATGCCCTACACTTCGCCTACCGGTACGAGGCCGCCACTCGAGAACCTTTCTTCCCCATCGGTTGTCGGTTCTTCGAGCTATATGGCCGGCCCACTGCCACTTCAGCTTACTAATCCGTTGGGCTATGTCGGTTACTCTGGTTCTACTGCGGATATCCTCATTCCTAAGTTTATCACGCAGAGAAACTCCGAGCATAGCCCTCTCCATAGCTCGCTGAGCAACCTTGAGCTTTCTCATACGGCCAGCAGTGAAGGACCACGTCTCAGTTCCGTAAGTCATCACTGGCAACACGCACTGGTTGTACAATTTCGTTTTAAGGTTTTAAGGTATGTCTGACGAGAAGATGTGTCGTAGCTTCCCGAACGCTGCCCAGCCGAGTTGAATCCGTCGATTGACCTCTCGGTCGAAGTTGGACTTACCTAGTCGGACTATTTGTCCCAGGTAAACATACTCGTCAACAACTTCGAGCTTAGTGTTCCCAACAACTACCGGCATAGGTGTGACATGGACATTAAACATGATCTTTGTTTTGTCCATGTTCATCTTAAGACCTATCCGTTGGGAGACACTATTGAGGTCATTGAGCATACTGCTGAGGTCCTCCAGCGATTCTGCCATAAGGACTATATCGTCGGCAAATCGAAGCTGAGTGATGTACTCGCCATTGATGTAAATACCGTATCCTTTCCAGTCCCGTAGCTTGAAAACGTCTTCCAATGCAGCGGTGAAGAGTTTCGGGGATATAACGTCACCCTGTCTTACACCTCTCTGCAGTTGGATAGGTTTCGTACTCTGATTCAATACTCGGATAGCCATCGTAGCTCTACTGTACAAACACTTCAACACTTCGATATACCGACAAGTTGACACTTGGCACCGCTGAAGGGACTTCAGCACCGCCCAAATTTCGACAGAATCAAAGGCTTTCTCATAGTCCACATACGCAAGGCAAAGTGGCAGATTATACTCCTCTGTCTTCTGTACAATCTGCCGCAGGGTATGTATGTGGTCCATGGTACTAAAGCCTTTTCGGAAACCGGCTTGTTCGGGAGGCTGGAAGTCGTCAAGTCTGCGTGCGAGACGATTCGTAATGACTCTCGAAAACAGCACGTAGACGCGGCTCAGAAGGGAAATCGGTCTGTAGTTCTTCAAGAGAACGTTGTCGCCTTTCTTGAAGAACAAGACCACCGCACTTCTGCTCCACGCCCCCGAAGTAGTGCCACCATGGAGGACGGAATTAAAGAGCTTCTGAAGGACTTCAAGTACCGGTGTTCCACCCGCTTTCAAAAGCTCCGCTGTAATTCCATCCTCATCCGGGGACTTGCCGTTTTTAAGGTGCTGGAGAGCCATTCTAATCTCGCTCAGACTGACGTCCGGGATATCTTCGAAATAGTGTCGGATAAGACTCGCTCTTGGATCGTTACTCACACTTGCGTTTGGCTCCAACGATGACGTGTACAGCTGCTCATAGAACCTCTCAATCTCACTCAAAATCTCAGGTGTCCCGGAAACGATGCTGCCACACTCAGTCTTCAGCTTTGACAATTGGCTCCTTCTGGCAGACAGATCTCTGGCAAAGACTTTGGAGCCTTGGTTCCGCTCGATCGCTTCTTCAATACAAGCTGTATTGAAGTTGCGCCGCATGCATTTGGAAATGTCTGTTCAGTTGCCTTTATGCTGTCAAATCTGTTGAAGAATGTAGCTTTATCTCCCGTCTAACAGCCATGAGATTAAGAGTGTGATCGGAGAGTTTTTGTGTTCTTCTGCGGCTGGTCTTGCAGAACTTAGCTCCGACCGCATGGACAGTTTCCACGAGCTTGTCATTCATATCGTCCACTTCATTGCAGTTTTCTAGGCACTGAAAACGGTTTTGGAACTCGAGCTGAAAGGTTTCAGGACTTTGGAACAAAGCACGAGGGGGACGGAGCGTTGACTTCATTAGACGAGACCTCTCCAACTTAACGTTCAGGTTCAGTGTGCCTCTAACCATTCGGTGATCGCTACCAGTTTTCACCCTCGCGATCACGGAGACGTCACTGAACAGTTGTCTTCTGGTCGTCATAATGAAGTCAATCTCATTTTTTGTCGAACCGTCGGGGCTCGACCAGATCCACTTCATGTGGGGCCGCTTCTGGAAGAAAGAGTTCATCATAAAGAGTCCCTCTTTCTCCATGAAGTCGGCCAGCTGCTGGCCCCTTGGGTTCCGTTGCCCTATTCCAAATTTCTCTACTTTCAGTTCACTGTTCTCTCTTGTGCCTAGTTTTGCATTAAAGTCTCCCATTAACACCGTATATTGGGTTTTGGAGGAATGTATGGCTCTAGAGATCCTCATACTTTTCCTCCACCTCCTCATCGGGGTGTGCCGAGGTTGGCGCGTAAACCTGTATGACCTTCAGCGAATACCGTTTGGTAATTCTGAGTATAAGGTACGCAACCCTCGTCGACACACTCTCGATCTTTACAACGTTGTTAACGAGAGACTTGTGGACGATAAATCCGACACCTTCTTGGGACAGATGGTCGCCCTCCCGGTGATAGAGCAAGTTGCCGGATTCGAGGATTATCCTTATAATATGCCACCGTAACTTGTCTATCTCTTCTTCCAGCTCCACGATCTTCTCGTCAGTCTTCAGGATGTGTGCGTTGTATGTTGCCAGGTCGAGTCGTCTTAGGTGGCAACCGAACCTCCACCGGAGATTCTTAGCACCCCCTGCCCCGCTGTTAACATGGTCACCACCGTAGCCAGGAATAGCGGGGCCGCCGGGGATTGGGGCCGTCTCTTTGTTGCTCTAATCATTGGGGGGTATTTGCCATAGTTGCCACGCTTGGCGAGCGGGTTGGCAACCGCAGTTTTTTTTTATTGTACTTTTGCTGTTATCTGGAAGATGCTGCTGCCCATCTCCTGCCTGTTTCCCTTTGTCGCCTTTTACGACACCCACGGGAAGATATGGGGTAGTTGATATTCTGAACCGCCACTACACGGCTATATATAGATACATATAGATATATATATCCATATATATTTTTCTCTTGCCCATCCCTACCACAGACAGACACACACACAAGCAGTCAAACTTATAACACCCCTCTTTTTACGTCGAGGGTTAAAAGATAGAAAAGTTTTTATAAATGTACAGGTTACATAGATTGTGCAACCAGTGTGTTGCCAGTGATGACATATTTTGATCTGACTCCTTCACTGATGACCGAAGTTCAAGATTGCTATGATATGAGAGGGCTATGCTTTATTTATTTATTTATTTTATTCACATAGGCTCATTTTTATGCTCTTTTCAATGGTCAAAAGAAGAAAAAAAAATTGTAACAAATTAACAAGTTTGAACACAACAATAACAATTCAATCAATGTTAAATTCCATGATTGATTGGTGTTTTTCTGCGTGATAGACTTAGAAATGAGGATAGCCACAATAGAACCAGAGTAACCGACATAGCCATATAGCAAAAAGAACCGACAACCGATTGTGAAGAAGGGTTCTCGAGTGGCAGCCAGGAATGGCTTGCCCCCACTAGACGTAGTCATATTCCTTAGGGAGGCCTATGTTTAGCAGTGGTGGTAAAGGGCTGTTATGAAAATCATGATGATTTTACGATTATATCCAGACCCACAATGGGCAACAGCATCAAAAGTGCATGACATATATTACTGTGATGGTCAATTTGCCTGCCTCAAGAATAAGGCAAATCCCCCTCCTATAACAGGAGCGGCTCATGTCCTGGAGTAGACATTGATGGGCTGATTAAGGGGAAGTACAGGCCATAGCCAAACTTCCTTAAAAAATTAAATCTATACAAATATATAAATAATATTATGACCATATCCTATTTATATATATATATATATATATATATACCTGTGGTATTTGTAGTTCTTCAATTTCCAGGATGAATATGTCAAGTTTGTCGAGGATATCGGCGGAGAGCTTTGCCACCATCACCAGAAATAACACATGGTGGAAGAACACGCAGTACTTGAGACGAGACTTATTTAGTGCACTGAAAATAAAATTATTGCCCTTTTTGAATATAAACTTTTTTTTTATAATTATGACTTCTTATTTCGCATAAATAAGAAGTCATAATTATAAAAAAGATTTGCATTTAATAGATGTCTATGGGCTACAGTATCCACTTAGCATCAGGTGGACTATGTGCTCATTTTTCAACCTTATTCTGTATAAAAAAAACTTAGACTAATATAAACAGTAATATACAATTATTGCATAATAACAGAAACATACAATTTAAGTAGTCAAGGTTCTCTAAATAGTGATTAAAGAGACAATTCAGTGAAGTGAGGGAGAGCATGATTGATATGAGCATTATAACCCATTTTTAAACTCCACATCTAATTATGTATTGATTTTATTTTTGCTCTAAATTTTCATTGCTTCTTAGAACAATGTAGGTGCCCTAAATAAGCTTCTGATAAAGCAAACCACATGTGACCTAAATAAAATGCTCTGTAATGTATGTCCAAGTTATATTACTAAGAAATAGTAATATTATAACATATTACACTGTAAGCTTGAAATAAAACAGGAGGTGGACAGCAGCATCTTCCCGGTAACAACTCAAAATAATAAAAAGTGCACTTGCCAACCTGCTTGCCAAGGGTTGCAACCAATATTCAACAGTGGACCATAAAAGTTAAAGTTATATCCTATATACGTCCCACTGCTGGGCACAGCTGGGTTTTAGGGCAAGGAAGTATCCGCCGCGCTGCCTCAATGCGTGTTGGCGACCTTCACATGTCTTCGAATTTTTTTTTTCAAATATTCTTATTTCTCAGACATGCCGGTTTCCACACAATGTTTTCATTCACCGTCGAGCATGTGGTAAATCAGCACTTAAAATGACATGCAACAATTTCATTAGTGCCGGCGGGGATCAAACCCGGTTTGCTCGCGTACTGTGAAATTTACAGCGAGCATTAACCATCTGAGCTACCACAGCTCTCACAGTGGACTATGATAGGTTTCAATTCATGAATGATGAATAAAGAAAGGCCGTAGTACACATCTTTGAAATATCACTGTATCTCAATTCTAACTTCTATCATTTTACTATTTACACATGCATCTAGAGTCTAGACCAGAAAAAATTTACAAACAACTATTTAAAGCTTTAGTATAATAATTGTACTGTAGCATATAAAGCTTTGGTGACACATGGATTCATAGAACAAAAATACAAATCTAGTATGCCTTAGGCATTATTAAAGTACTAAGTAGCTGTAGAAACAACAACCCTGGATATTGGGTTCATATTTTTATCATAGCAAACTGTGATTGATTTATAATAAGATATACTAGGCAATGGCCTAGGGCATAACCGTAGCTTTTCCATCAAGAAATTCTCAGTAGCTGCCCAGAGTCAGGAAGTTGGCGGTAACGCACCACCGTGCCTCGGAAAACACGTAAAGCTATTGGTATAGGTCCTACGCCTGATCTCTTTTTATCATTATTATACATATAAACCTTCCTCTTAAATCATTCTGTCTATTGACGAAAACCACATCAAAATCCATTGCGTAATTTAAAAGATTTAAGCGTACATACGACGGGAAGAAACTTTGTTTTATACTATGTATGAAGAAGAAAAGAGATCAGAATAATCCCAGGTGATACAGCAGGGCGGAAGTAAATAGTGTCTATATTTACTTCTACGGTCATGTTGGTTTACCGTCCCATTGGACTATGAGAGTGTCCTTCCTGTCCTTCGCCAATGGCTAGTCTCTGTTGAGGCTGGCGGTCGTGACAGAAATTCGGTCTGGAGGACATTATTATTACCTGTACCACTTTTAGATTCTATAACCTTTGTGTATATAATCAATAAAGCTATTTTTAAATAAAAGTTATTGTTTATTATAATATTATGCACAAATTTTTTGACAGCTCCGTGGCACAGTGAGTTTTGGCACTGAGACTAATTGGGTTCCAATGCTACATGAAACAAGTAATTATATTATTATTATTTATGGGGTAACATATAATAAGTAAATATATAATGTGTAAATGAAAATGATGAATATACATAAACATCAATAAAATAAAATAAATACATTAAAAAATACATAAATAAATCAAATGCCAACCAGATGGCTGCTCTCGACAGGGGAGACCGAACGGACGAAGGTTAGGGGGAAAGGGAAAGAAACCAGTGGATGATGCATGCAGTATCGAGGAGCACAACCTTTTGCGTTTGAGCCCGGAGCGGACCATCACGAAGTTGCAGTTGCTTCAGATGACCTGAGAGACTGAATGGGATTAGCCCATTCGCAGAAACAACCACAGGAATAATTTCAGTCGGCAGACCACCCCACATGTCGGTGACCTCGTGAGCCAGATCCAGATATTTTGTTCGCTTATCTGTTTCGGCTTTCACGAGGTTCTTGTCATAAGATTGGTAATGTCGACCAAAAATATCCTTGACCGTGCCCAGTCCATCAGCACAATATCAGGCTTATACGCAAGAATAGTCCTGTCTGTGATGAGCAATTTATGATTTAAAGCCTAAAGAGTCGCTGCGACAAAAATTTAAGGAAATGAATATATTAACTTTGGCCTCTCAATACTTTTATGAAAATGTAATGTATGTACACAAAAATAAAAGTAGTTTTACAAAAATAAGTGATATTCATTCTGTAAATACTAGGAACAGACACAAGCTAGTAGTACCAGTTACTCGACTCCATCGAGTCAGTAATTCATTCTTGGGGCGATGTATACGCTTTTACAACAAAATTCCAGAAAATATACAAAGTTTGACCTGCTCAAAGTTCAAAAACTTTATTAAACTAAGTTTGTATAAAAAGGGCTATTATAATATTAAGGAATTTATGGATGATAATAACCCCTGGAAATGAGGTGATCGCTACCAAGCTATTTCTAATTTGTTGTGTTGTTAATTTGTGTAACATCATGATTGTAAGCTGTTATTTAAAAAAAAAGTCCCGCTGGGTTTCTTGCTAGTTCTTCCCAGGACAGAGGTTTTTTTCCGAACCAGTGGTAATCAAACAAAAGAGTGACTTTCAATAAGTATTATTTATAATCTATATTGAATAAAAAAGTTTCTGTTTCTGTTTCTGATGGCTCGGTCCTAGTAGAGCCTGGCACGGTCATTTTCAAGCACGGCTTCCGGCAAGTATGTTAATATGGCAGTTTCTGATCCACGAGACCTTATTTCAGAGCAACCTCCTGGTGTAGAATCCTGGCTACTAGGTTGTGTCTGTGCAAATACTCAGAGTTAACAAGCGCCGAACAACTGGAGATGTTTATTATTATTATTATTACTTAATAGGCCAGCATGGATAAAAGGACACAGTGGATCCAGAGGCAACGACGCAGCAGACGAACTGGCCAGAAGAGGATAGGCTCTAGCCACTATAGGGCTGGAACCAATCATATCAATCCCCTTTGGTAACGTTCGTTTACTGGTACGTAGACACTACACTAATCAACCCGCTCAACTTTGGAAAAATCTAGTAGACTGTAGACAAGCTAGGGAGGGCCTGCCTGAAATAAACAGTTGTTTAACCAAGGTTCTAATGAGACTGAACAAGCCGCAGATCAGGATAGAAACAAGTGCTATCACAGGACACGGCAACTTTAATAAACGTTTATTTACCATAGGTGTTATGGGTAGTCCCCTGTACAGGGCATGTATGGGGGAGGAAGAAACGATGGCCCACATGTTGCTGACGTGTCCGGAAGTCGCTGTATACAGGGCTAAACATCTCAGCACACCGGGATCACTCCCCAAAGTTGCTTGCAACATCAAAGGACTGTTGAACTTCATGGCTCGAATAGATACATTATTCCTGCCCACACGCAAAATACGTGCTAAGACGTGGAGTTGTGGAAAACAGCCCGTTTATTCAATTCAAGAGGCCAGCAATTCACTACAACTAGTGGAGCTGTCCTTGTGTAGATTAACTATTATTTGATTTTTAATAATGTAGTCAAAATTAATGTCTCTTTCAAAGTCATTCATAATTATTTTATTTGTTTTCTTTACCACTTTTGCCCAATTATCCATTGTGACATAGGTACATGCTTCCTTCAGCAAACCTTCCATTTTCTTCACAAAGCATAAGATATTTTAATTTTTTTTTTAAAAGAAATTAAAAATAATCTTGTGTGTATTTTAGTAGAGTTAATAATATGTTTTTATTTAGAACATTTCATATAAGAACTAGGCTTTGATTTGGGCCCAAATCAATTCAATAGCATGACACGACTTGTGTCACTAGTAAAAGAGGCTCAATGTTGTGTGACTCACATTTTAAATATTTGTGTAATTTCACCACAAATGCACAAACCTGACTATTTAAAGTACAACTACCACAACTTTATCCTCTTTTCAACATTATGGTCACTTCAATCAAAGTTCAAGATCAAAGACCAGTGAAAATATCAATGAATATATTAAAATCAGTACAAAAAATTATGGTCGTATCATAAAATAAGATAAACACAAAATTACAAAAGTATGCACAGTAAGCTCCCAAAATGGTGGGAGATTAGAATTACGCAGTGTTTTTTCAGTGCAGCCTTGGTTTATTTGTTTACATAAATTTACACTGACAAAGTAGGAAATTATAAAATAAATAAACTTGTTTTATTCATGATTCATATAATTTAAGCAATTTTAAAAATAAAATTTATATAAACAAATATTATTTGAATATTTTTATTGATTATTCAAATAACAATGAATTTTAATCATTCAAACACTGCAGGTAGGTAGGTACATAGCGACATATCATTGAAACAATGTCAGGCAAAAAAGTTGAATTTGGTTAAATTTTGTACATTTTGCCATTTTTGAGATTCCAACTTAAATTAGTGATAAAGAACTATACATATTGTAATTAAATATACATAGCTTCATAATTGTTTGGATTTACATAAAAGGTTATTTTAAATGGTGTGAGTACGCTTGTACAAAGTTATTGCGGAATGATTAATATGAAACATCAAAAGGTATTTCTTCAAAAGGATTTGATCAAGTATAATAGCAATAGAAACAGAAACAGAAACTTTTTTATTCAATATAGATTATAAATAATACTTATTGAAAGTCACTCTTTTGTTTAATTACCACTGATTCGAAAAAAACCTGTCCTGGGAAGAACCAGCAAGAAACTTTTTTATAAATAACAGCTTACAATCATGCAATCACAATTAACCACACAAAACAAATTAGAAATAGCTTGTAATATTTAGCCTATTAGCCCATTATTTAAATTTGTGGCGCGAAATGTCTCTGAATTTTGCTTATGTCTAAAAATAATTTGACGGAACTCTGAATGTGATGCCGTTGTCACATCACCACAGCACTGTGTATTTCTATATCAGAGCGATGTACGTAGAGATAATCCATACGCTCACCTTAATTGATACTGTATCGCTATTTTTTCCCGATGCTCGTAATCTGCTCCATTGGTACCTGTCACCATAAAACCACCGCGAGAAGCCATATTTTAACTTAACTTCGCTTAGTAATAAATAAAAAATTTATCACAAAGATGTTTCACAAACACAACACAATTCATCCATACATACAACCCTTTACATAAATATTAATTTCGATCAATCCATCGTAAAACTAGCTCTGCCAAGTAAAATCGAACAGAGCTGACTGGAGCTGACGAAATCTAACAAGCAGTGTTACCAGACACTATATAGTAACCTTACCCACAAATTTAAACATTAATTTGTATTACTTTTCAATAACTTTTCAACAATCAACATGAAATTTATATAATTGACACGAAATTTACTACTTTTATTTGAACATCGCTTATTTAAATGTAAACAGAATGCTAATCAACTAAATGTACCGTAAAATTAAAAAATATGATATGCCTAAAATTATTTACTATTATAAAAATCACTCCATGTCCATTATATACGAAAATTCATCATACATGTTTGGAAAACCACATAAGATAAATATTAATTATTATTGTAATATAATAATTTTTCCCTAAAATAAAGATATTTTCTATATTTTAACCACACTCTGAAGTTAATGCCAAAATGCCAACAGATCAAATTTGACGTATTCAGAAATGGCGTTCCGTTCAGAAATCGTATTACTATGTAATCACCAGAGTTCAGTAATTGGTAATCATAACACAAATCATCAATCAAACAAGTAATCAATAAAAATAAGAAAAAAATTCTTGTAGTGGAAGATGAACACGTTACGTCTTATATGATATTTTACCTGGTACTTATTAGTATTATTGTTATATTTTTCTCACAAGGTTGTTGCCAGTTGTGTCTCGCCAGCAACGCAAAGTCAGGAATTTGCATATGTAAAAATCCAAAATTAGGGGCTTTTAGGTGCTAATTAAGTACCAAATTTAAAAATTAGTTGCTCTAAAATTTTCACCGCAACGAACTGTTAAAATTTGCGCTGCTGGCAAAACGTATCGCTAGCAACGCAGGGACGATAATAAATATACGATAAATATTAATAGCAAGGAATTAAGTGCTATTTAAGTGTTGAAAGATTATTGGGGTCGGATGTAGATGAGGGTAATATTCTGGGAATTATCGGGTCCAGGACCACCACTACCTTACTGTAAGGTATGAATGGCATTTTTTCTTTTTTATCAGTTATATATTATAGATAAAGTAGGTCGAATCTGTACTAAAATCAAATCAGAACGCCCTGACTCTACGTAGTAGTATCTGCCCTACCCCTAGAATGTTTTTGTAAAGCCGTAGGCGCGGAGGGAGAGCTGCCCCGCCCGCTGTGGCAAAACGCAGGCATCCGTGCGAGCTGTAGAAGCTGAGGCTGTTCGCCGAAGGCGACCAATAAGTCGAAGCTGCGGTGGCGAGCATGGGTGCTTGTGATTTGCTACGCAAGGGCGAAGAGGCTGCACTCCCCGCAGCGCCGAAGCCATTGCAGAAGTAACTATGTCAATATTCCTGTAACGCAAATTTCAACAGTTCGTTGCGGTGAAAATTTTAGAGCAACCAATTTTTAAACATGGTACCTAATTAGCACCTAAAAGCCTCTAATTTGGGCTTTTCTAAAAGCAATTTTGATTCTATCTTGATTTTCAAAAAACCTGAACTTTGCATCTGCTATGTTCTGAATAACGACTTTATTTTTATTACGGGCGCCTTGTCACTGCCTATACTTGCAGCACCTAATTAGCACTTAATTCCTTGCTATTAATATTTATCGTATATCTAATAACTTCATTGCGTTGCTAGCGAGACGTTTTGCTAGCAACGCAAATTTCAACAGTTTGTTACGGTGAAAATTTTAGAGCACCTATATTTTAAACTTGGCACCTAATTAGCACCTAAAAAGCCCCTATTTTGGGCGTTTTCTAAAAGCAATTTTGATTCTATATTGATTTTCAGAAAACCTGAATTTTGCATCTGCTATGGTCTGAATAACGACTTTATTTAAAAAATCAAAATGCAGATGCGTTGCCAGCCGTGAGGACTAAGATGGAATGCCTCTTTTCCAGTAAAAAGGGTCACCGGTTCTCTACAATCACCATACGAAACACAGCAGCGTTTAGCTGCTATTTGACGTTGGTATTCTGTGAGAGCGTGGTCCTTCCCCGGTCGAGCCGACCCATTCGTGCTACAACTATACTACTAATATTGCTGCAGCATGGCTCTACCACGTAAAATCCCAATGTCACAGTTAACCACGGCTACGTCCAGATTAAAAATTATAAATTTTGTTCCGATCTACGCAGTATGAGCTTACAGCATAATGAAGTCTTGCAGTTGTATGCTCGGGTTGGGATTTAATTTTATTAATTATGGGATCCCAAGCATGGTAGCACCCAGCCATCTTCTCTATTGAAATTAGGATGTTTATTGATTTCAATAGCCTCGCGAATCATCCTTGGAAGGAATCGGTGTCCTTTAGCGAGGATTTGTGGACTATCAAATCTAATGTAGTGACGGGAGCGATGCTGTACGTGTTCACAGACTGTAGACTTCCCGGAGCGTCGATTCTTCACATCAGCTATGTGTTCTTTAACGCGGCTTTTTCTGGATCATTTAGTTTGTCCTATATAAGAGAGACCACATTCACAATCAAGTTTGTACACTCCTGCATCTTGCAGAGGAACATTACACTTGACTTGACTGATGGTAAAAAATGACTAATCTTCATCGGCGGCTTGAAGTATGTTTTAATGTAAGCACGCTTCAAGATATAGCCAATCTTGTCAATGACACCTCTGACGTATGGCAGTACAGCAGGCACTCGCTCGACTGTGGCCGGCTTCACTCGTTCACTGTGACGTAGGCGCGGGACCCGAAGCTTATTGTCATGCAAAACTTGCTTGACGTGTTGGAGCTCGGCGGCCAGGTGTTTACTGTCACAGATCCCTCGTGCTCTTTGAAACAAAGATTTACCCACGGTAGCTAACTGTGAAGGATGGTGGTGAGAATCACCGTTTAAATATCTATCTGTATGGGTCTTTTTCTATACACAGTGTAGCTCAAGGTGTTATCAGGATTCCGAATTACTAATACATCTAGAAAAGCTGAAGACTTGTTTGCCTTTAACTCCATTGTGAACTGAATTTTTGAATTTTAATTATTTTTTTTAATCCGTAAAATTAGTTTTATTTAAATGTGTAGTGTTCGCGTAAATATAAGAAATCATAACGACTTTATTTTTATTACGGGCGCCTTGTCATTGCCTATACATACTTGCAGCACCTAATTAGTACTTAATTCCTTGCTTTTAATATTTATCATATATCTAATAACTTCATTGCGTTGCTAGCGAGACGTTTTGCTAGCAACGCAAATTTCAACATTTCGTTACGGTGAACATTTTAGAGCACCTTATTTTTAAACTTGGCACCTAATTAGCACCTAAAAAGTCCTCAATTTTGGGTTTATTTAAATGCAAATTCCTGATTTTGCGTTGCTGGCGATACACAACTTATTTTGGTAGGGTAAAATTTAGGAGGATAAAATTAACTAAACAAAACGTTTATCAGCTTTCATTATATGTATACTGAATATTTTTGTATAAATTACTTCATTATCATCATCATTACAGCCCTTCACAAATCCATTGCTGAACATAGGCCTCCCCCAAGGAATGCCACAAAACACGGTCCTGAGTCACCTGCATCCATCGACTTCCTACATGTCTTACCAGTTCGTCACTCCATCTAGTGAGGGGACCCCCTACACTTCATCCGCCGGTACGAGGCTGCCACTCGAGAACCTTTTTTCCCCATCGGTTGTCGATTCTTCGAGCTATATGGCCGGCCCATTGCCACTTCTGCTTAAAATCCGTAGAGCTATATCGGTCACTGTGGTTCTACTGCGGATATCCTCATTTCTAAGTTTATCACGCAGAGAAACTCCAAGCATAGCCCTCTCCATAGCTCGCTGAGCAGCCTTGAGCTTCCTCATCTGGCCAGCAGTGAAAGACCACCTCTCAGTTCCATAGGTCATCACTGGCAACAGATGGGAAGATATGCCGTAATTTCCCGAACGCTGCCCAACCGAGTTGAATCCGTCGATTGACCTCTCCGTCGAAGTTGGACTTACCTAGTCGGACTATTTGTCCCAGGTAAACATACTCGTCAACAACTTCGAGCTTAGTGCTCTCAACAACTACCAGCATAGGTGTGACATGGACATTAAACATGATCTTTGTTTTGTCCATGTTCATCTTAAGACCTATCCGTTGGGAGACACTATTGAGATCATTGAGCATAGTGCTTATGTCCTCCAGCGATTCTGTCATAAAGACTATATCGTCGGCAAATCGAAGGTGAGTGATGTACTCGGCATTGATGTTAATACCGTATCTTTTCCAGTCCAGTAGCTTGAAAACGTCTTCCAATACAGCGGTCAAGAGTTTCGGGGATATAACGTCATCCTATCTTACACCTCTCTGCAGTTGGATAGGTTTCGTACTCTGGTTCTGTACTCGCATAGCCATCGTAGCCCTACTATACAAACATTTCAGCACTTCGATATACCGACAGTCAACTTGGCACCGCTAAAGGGACTGTAGCACCGCCCAAATTTCGACGGAATCAAAGGCTTTCTCATGGTCCACATACGCAAGACAAAGTGGCAGATTGTACTCTTCTGTCTTCTGTACAACTTGCCGAAGGGTATGTATGTGGTCTATGGTGATAAAGCCCTTTCGGAAACCGTATGTTCGGGAGGCTGGAAGTCGTCGAGGCTGCGTGCGAGAAGATTCGTAATGACTCCCGAAAACAGCACGTAGACGCGGCTCAGAAGGGAAATCGGTCTGTAGTTCTTAAGAGAGCGTTAACGCCTTTCTTGAAGAACAAGACCACCGCAATTCTGCTCCACGCCTCCGGAGTAGTACCACCATGGAGGACGGAGTTAAAGAGCTTCTGAAGGACTTCAAGTACCGGTTTTCCACGTGCTTTCAGAAGCTCCGCTGTAATTCCATCCTCGCCCGGGGACTTGCCGTTTTTAAGGTGCTGGA